GGGCTTACAGGCCCCGGTTGTTTCAGCCTGAAAGCTGAAAAACGAGGGCCTGCAGGCCCTACCCCGTTTCAGCCTATTTCTGGGTCTTTTCCGACCCAGAGTTTTCAGCCTGAAACGGAGGGCCATTTTCAGGCCCTCGTTGTTTCGACCTGCCCCTAAGACTCAGGCACGGAAACAGGGATGCGGAACAGGCCAGAAATAGCCTGTTCCTCACGAACTCGAGCAGGAGCTGCAGCTGCAGCCCCTGCCTCCGATCGGCATTGGCAAGAGCAGCCTCCTGGACTGTTCGCCAGCAGTCAGGAGGCACCCCGGTAGTACATAGGACTGTCCTAGGCACTTCACGGGGAGTTAGTTGTCAGTAGGCACAGGTAGTGGTCAGTGCACACGAGTAGTCTTCAGGATTCGGCTGCAGCACTCAGGAGGAGCGCTGCAGTAGTCTCCAGCGCTAGGTAGTATTAGCGCTAGCTGTAGTCTTCGGCGCTGGGCGCCATAGCTGTAGTTGTAGTCTTCAGCGCTGGGCGCTGGTAGGTGGTAGATCGTAGAGTGGGAGAGATACTGGCGGAGGCCAGTGGTACTTACCTGTGGCGCCATCGCTCCAGCTCCATCTTCGTGGTACCTGCATCAAGGCACCAACTTCACAGGTTAGTACTGGACACAGAGAGAGAGAGAGTTCTTCTTCTTCCTCTTCTAAATCCACCATCTCTTCTCACCCTCTCGCCACCTGACTTCTCAGACTACGACAGAGAGAAAGAGTTGTGACTTGAGACTTGACGACATTGGATCCAGACTGGACATTGGGATTCAGACATTTCGACGAGGGACTATTTGGGCCTGTACCGAGACTTGGTGTTGACGACATTCCCATCTTTCCCTCCTCTTTCGTCTAACCCCTCCTTCTTCGTCTGTGTATGGTTGGGGCTGGCGCAGTCTTCTTGTGTGAAGCGCCAGACCCCCTTCACACCAGATAACGATGATGATGATGTGTGTTCAGGGCTGCATTGCAATATTGATTGTTCGGATCATTCGTATCCAAGTCTTCCGCTGTGTTATCCTGTACTTTGTATTGAAGAGGTCGGTTCTTGTTCTGGTCTGCACGTTACAGTATGCAACAGATAGGGTAGAAGCGGACATAGCCGCCATAGCTAGAGTTAGTGTGTAGCGAGTGTGTATGTGTGTGTGAGTTCAGAGAGGGGCGTGTGGGATATCCAGGGTGATCCGTGGTATGTGAACAGTGAGTTGTTTGGGCACTGAGTCACCGTAGCCAATTGAAAGTGAACTCGTATCTGGATGCCATATCTCTGAGTATTGAGTGGGCGCATGTCGCCAGTTTGCTACGCTACCGTTTACATGCATGAAAAGTGTGAATGAAAGCGAGTCTGATTGCAATTTGTTTTGTTTTGCCGTTATCAGGTGCTGCCGGCAGGTTTTGTTTCTGTTCATCTTGTTTTTTTTTTTGTTTTTTTTTTTTGAACCATGCTCCGGTCTATTCGTGGGGAGAAGCACGTGCTGAGAATCGGACCCAGCGTCCCATCATACAACACAAAGAAAAAATTGAGGCTGGGAATCGGGAGACACAACTTCCTTTTAAAAAAAAAAAAAAAACATGCAAGGAGAATGAGCAATAGCAAAATAGACAGAACTCCAGATTGCAAAATCACATTGAAAGCCAGATACTCGCAAGCTGTTCAGAAAGCAGAAATGCACTGATACTACACCGAAGGAGAACCAAAGCACCGAGCTCAAAAGTCAATGAAAGCACTCTTCTGGCACAGCCAACAATGCATTCGAAGCTCTTACTCCTACGTGGTGTGTGCGCACGCGCGCGCGAGAGAGAGAGAGAGAGCCCTGTACCGTGTTGCATAAGAGTCCCAATACTGCTCATTGGCGAGGGGGACTGGAAACAGATCCGCAGGAGGGAGTGGCATCTTCCCTGAGGCCTTTCTGCCACTTGCCACACACATGGCGTCATCAGAGAGATCCTTCCTTTGTCGTTGGAAGGGGAGAGAGAGAGAGAGAGAGAGAGAGAGAGAGAGAGAGAGAGAGAGAGAGAGAGAGAGAGAGAGAGAGAGAGAGAGAGAGAGAGAGAG